AAGTAATTATGACAAACAATTTATGTCGTCAAAACGAGGAAACGGGTGTATGGGGTCAGAACCTGCTAATTGTAAAGGATGGGGAAACGAGGAAGCTAATTACCCCTTCCCCTGCACTGATTTATTCATTGTCGCACAGATGTTGCATGTATGTTTTACCGGATTTCACAAAAAGCAGCACCTGACCCCAGTTTCAATTACCACAGAAATAACCGAACCCATTTCAGATATGCTGATGCTTTATCACAAAAAATCAAGAATACACGTAATGGTAGAAAGACTATCCATGTAAAATGGTTGCTAGTACAAGTGTTTATAAGTAATGCTAGCGCAAGTATATGCATGTCCTAACTTCATACGGGTAAACAACCGACAAGCTGACGCTTTAACACGGATAGCATTTCTACCATTACATGTATTTTAATGCGTTTTTGACTTTCGGTGACCGCATTTACTGACTCTTCCTATGAGAGACATAATATACTTTGGTTATCGCTTTGCACTGTTTAACGCACTTTGGCGGCCTTGCTTTGACCGAATCTGTAATATTTAATAGCGTTCAGACTGACGATCCTGGCACTTTTTGACGAACTGTGTTGCCATTCTTTGGGGTTACAGTACCACTAATTTACCTTGATAACCCGCTGGAGCAAAACCACACCTCATCTGAAGGCAGTAAATAATTTCTATATGTAAATGTGCTGAAATCGATAATATGTTTAACTTACTTTACTATTACCAAGCGTTTACCCTTGTAATGAGATTAATTAAGCTGAATTTATGGCAGACAAAAAATCAAAACCCCTCCCCAGTTCACTCTCTGTGAGGCATGAGGAAGTACACGGAAGTAGCACGAATGACAACATATACCATTTACAACTTCCCACTGGCAAAGCCGCGGATAGGTCGTTTTTTTTGAGAAGTAGGGTTGATTTTTGTTGAAACCGCAATACTTTCAATAAGCGTATAATTAGCGATGTGTTTTTATTATCAATTTTTTGGAATGCATTCAATACTTTTGTAGAAAATTTTCCTGCAAGAAAAAAGAATTTATCAAAAATAATAGTATTCACAGCACCAGTAATAATAGCAGTATCATCGAGCAAATCAACGAGGAAAAGAAACTCGAGAAGAAAAGCACAAATTCTCAGATGGAAAAATGAAACTTCCATTCGCATCAGCAAAACAACGTAAGCAACTAACGTAATCCGTGAAATCATCCGTTTTTTACAACACAACACTATCATAACACCACTTGAAAAACATTGTCAAAAGCTAAAAACCACTCTTCTTTCTCGGTCAGTGGCCTAGTACGTACCATGTGCCAGTAGCAACCACAGGCTTCTAGGGCTATCGATTGCTCCATCTTCTGAGAATTTCTTATCCAAATGCTTTTTCTCCAGAAAAAAAAGATCACGCTCCGAGAGTAATTTGTCAAGTTTAAAACGCTTAAGCAGTCCAGCGGGCTGGTCTTAAATTAACAATCAATTGCAAGTTGACAGTCAATCAACTATTCTTATCACAAATTAACTACTTTTTACTATTAATTAATTCTTAACTAATATCCAGCTGATTTTCACTTTTCTAAAAAACTTAAGTGAGTGGTACAAGAGAGCCAAGAACAGTTGCTCATGGCATGTGACCGGATTAATGGGATATCTACAGCCCAGTTCAACGGCCCGGGTCATCAATGTGTTAAAAATTCCCATGGAGAAAAACAGTTGAATCTGTTTAGAAGACAGCGGCCTCACAAATGAGGTTGGAGTTCCATTGCACTGCTGTTAGTAAAATCTTTATAAGGGCATGAATACCTAAGCTGAGTCCAATACACTTTTCGAAGAACTGAAAAAATTAGCCAGAAAGGCTGAAAGAATCGGAAATGCAAAAGAGTAAAAATTTAGTTAAAAAAAAGGACTGAAGAATCAAAGCAAAGAAAGACAGGGAGTGGTTTCTAAATTTATCATTCAGTCATTCAGTTTCGATGGTAAATTGGTACTGACGCGTGCAAAGGAAGCTTGCTTAGCAAGCAACCCTCACAGGAGGGAGCCAACGGGTGGTTGCTTTTGGCAGCTGCAAGCCTTTTGCGAGCGCCTCCTCTTTTAATCGACATACTAGCTTATTATTCGACTAAAATTTAAAAATTACTAAGTAAACCGTAAATACAAACAATTATTTGATAAATAAATAAAAAAGCGCAGTATCAAAGAGAGTTACTCGTTACCAGAAAAAAACACTGGCGTAAGTAAAAGATTACAGGCAGCTATCCACCATTTTCCTTGCACATGGAATAAATTTACGTTTTTCCTCAAACTATCAAAAAACACTCTTTTACGGCATTTCAGAACACTCTGCTGCTTAAAAATTTCCCAACATTACCAAAAATCCTGAGTATTACCAAAGCTACATAGTTCCGAAAAGGTGTCATGCTTTTCGGGCTTGAACCAGAAGAGAGTGGTTCTTCTGCTTTTCATCCCTTTTTACCTTTGTCCAAACCCTTGACCAGTGCATTTTAACACCAGTAAATTCAAATCTCATAGAACAACCTAAGGACACACAAAATAGTGAAGAATCTGTGCAAGAATTGAGGTCGCTGCGAAGCACTATGTTTCAAATTACGCACAAGCAAATCCAGCTCACCGTCACCTGTCTTTGCCACAATCACGCTTCGCAAATGTCGTGTTCTGCAACTTTCTAATTGTTAAATTGCGATACAGGGTTACCTTGACTACGAGAACAGTCAACTGAAAAAAAAAACACAGCTGCGAGTAGCTAGCAGTTGATATTTTTTAAAAATTATGTCACCCATTTTAGCTGCTATTCTTCAAAAATTATCACTTTCCCGACAAGTTGCGGAACTCGCAGACAAACATATAGTGCTTATGAACACTGCTAATAATAACCGAGAATAAAGAATCCAAGATATCCACCATAACATCGCAAGCTCCACATTCCCAATTCGAGAAATCTTGACGATTAAATTTGAGAAATACGTCAGAATATCAAAATCGTCCGGATAATCGGTATGGGCTTTCCGCGTTAGTGATTTTGCTGGAACACCCTCATACTCTTCGGGAACAGCTATGTCAGGTTTTATGAGAAATATTACCTCGTTAGTGGAGTTTCTAGTGTGATTTTTGTAGGATTTTTCGCCCGTTCTCCGCGGCAATCATCTTGCGCTGCAGTAAGTTCCACACGCCAACCCCTTAACCACGCATAATTAGCAATTTGTACATTTAAAAAATGTCTTGGAAATTAGTTTGCACTCAATTTGTTTGATTATGTTTGGGCCAAAAATGCCATTTGATGTCACACATGTCAGTTGCATTTGATTCATCACAACAACAGAATGAAACTAATGTGTATACAGAGATGGGCAAATTCAAAATTTGAAAGGCGAATGGAGGGGAGAGAGAGAAGGGAACGAGAAAAAAGAGGGGGAAGTTGAGGTCGAGAGACTGATCAGTTAAAAACCACGTTTCTCTTTTCAGACGCTTGTAAAGGGCTTGGTTTTTCTTAGAAATTAATAATACTTCAGCATGTTTTTTCCATCATAGATTAGAGGACTTGAAAACTCAAATTTATGAAGAGGACATCAAAAACCTAAAGGCTGACCGCCAGAAATACAGCAGTGGTCAAAGCAATTGGGAAAGTTGCCATCCGCAACGTTGAAGGAACCAAACTTTCCAAATTATTCGGGTAAAAACTAATGGGCTTTCGAAATTTTCATTTATTCTACACGGTTTCTAAGTGTCAGTGATTTTTTTTATCACAACTATTATTTTCAATAAATGCAGAAAACTGGATTTTATCATGCTTTATCCCAATAAGCTGCCAAAGTGCTTTCAATTTTTAATCAAAACCTTCTTGAACTACCCTTAATTGCAGCACTATTGGTGCACTTCTGAGCACTCAACAAGGACAATCGAGTTTCGGAACACGTCATGCCGCAGAAAATAAAAGTGCACGAAAAAACTAGAAAAAACTAGACAAAGACAAAAAAGAGAAAAAAAACACAAAAAAGAGGGAAAGAATATAAAAACGTAGGCTGAAACGCACCAGGCTGGCGGTACCATCATCCGTTTTTACACTATTCTTGAAGCAATCAGGTTGTTAAATATATGAATGGTTCTTGGTTTACATTTATCTTGTGCGTTCACTAGCGTAAATCACCGTAAATTTTGTATAAAAGATAATGAACAAATTCCGTTTAGCGGTCGATTTTTGAAAATGAACTAGCTGATCTGTAATAACTTTCTCGCCAAAACTTTGAGTGCCTGTACGTGAGAACCACGCATATCTGGGGACTGAATTTAAAACCTTAAGTTCCAAGTGGACGAGGAACATCCCTTTAAAATTTCAGCTTTCCAGCTTTTCTGGCTCTTAAGTTAGCAATTTTCCCGCCTAAGCTTCCATGTGCTCATATGCGGGGCTCAGACGTGAGTGAGGGTTGTACCGCGGTCGAGGGGCAACTTTTTGATGAGAATATTAAATTTACTTGTCAATGAGTTCCACATCATAGCAGTCACCGCCTCCGCGTACTTGCCCAGCTGCTTTCAAATGGTAGTTGCTGCTTCGCTTACCGCGATTTTCAATTGAAAGACGACCATTGTAGCCAACAAACACCTTAAAAATATAAAAAACAGCTAAAGTGAATTTAAAGAATCTTTTAAAATTAGAATGCTTAAAAAAAAATCTTTCATTTTGAAAGGATTAACCTACTCCTTCTGAATCTAACTGCGTGATGATATTTACAAAACTGTCATTTATTTGGGTGTCAGAATCGCCAATAAGCTGACCACTGGACACACTGGTCAGCGCAGCTGGAAAAGTTGTCCCGTTATACACATGAAAATGCAGCTAATCGTAGTATCAAGGGACCATTTATTCGAGCGTTGTGTCTCCTCTATCGTACAGTAAATTACTGCATAAATTAATCGTAGCTCAGCGCTGACTGGGGGCGAAGTTGATTAATTACTGATCAACGATAAGAAATGACACATTCACACCTTGATGCCGGTCGTGATTTCGGGTGACTGCAGGTCGAGCACTTTCTCGAGCAAATATATCGTAAAGCCACTATTTTTCAGCAAATCATTATCACCATTTCGCCTCTTTTTCACAAATATTAGCTGAAATCAGAAGTTGTAAAAAAAACCTCGAAAATTCATTCTTTACGTCGCTTCGTTTCTAAAAAAAGACTCAATCATTATCACCATTTCGCCTCTTTCTCACAAATATTAGCTGAAACCAGAAGTTATAAAAAAAACCTCGAAAATTCCTCTTTTTCACGTCGTTTCGTTTCTAAAAAAAGACTCATCCGTACTTTTTTACTAATATCTACTACCTGCCTCAGCAGGGGGTTTCATTCAACAGTCGCTTGAAAAACAAGCGAAGATCAGTTTAATTTCTCATATTTTCTAAGCAAGCCAGCACAATTTACCGCAAAAACTAGTATAAATGATTTGTCCGAGGACTGAATTATTAGGAAACCTTCAGGGTCAACCTCCTCCCCGGAAGTTCTCCAGTCTTGAGCCATAACTTTCGAGTCCAAATCCATCCTCACAGCGACGTTCCAAAACGGGCGAGATACAAAGTTGGAACTTTGGCAGTTTTAGGCTTGTGCTGTATCCTTTCGTTTGGTCAGTTATTAGTCTGCGTATGTTAACACATGGAAGACTTTAGGCCTCCGTCTTCTTTCAGTCTCCTAGCTAGAGATATTCATTGCTTGTATCTTTAAAATTTCTGAAACATTTATTCTAAACCTAGGAAAATTTAATTTTTTCAACCACCACAAATCAAAGCAACCTCTACTGAGTACCTGATATGACAGCTTATCACCAAAACGTATGATTGTATCAGACTGGTTGCTGCATGCTAGTTAATTTGAGATTTACCTGTGCTGTGATCCGCTGAAGACTGGGAAATAGCGGTCGCTGTAGCAACGAAATGAGGAAGGCAGTCGGCCAGCCCAGAAATGCAACACCTTCGTTGCTCAGAATTGCTCCCGATGACTGGGCCGTTGCGGATGGAAATTCAACGAGACTCCATTTATTGCGGGCAAATTCCGTTTCACTCTAAATTCCAAAACTAACTTATAAGCTGTAGGAAGAAATTTGACGGATTCATTCAGATTTTTTAGATTTATTCAAAAATTTTGTTGTTATAAATTAATTCTCATGCACTGTGACAAATGAATGCGAAACGTGGTCACTGATGAAAACAGAAGAGCGAACAGTGGTACTAATATAAAGAGCAGTGAAAACGAAAGGTGCTTGGCGTTCCTCTCTGTAACCATACAAGCAATGGAGCTCTCCATTAAAGAAGCGGGTCGCTACAACCACACGGGAAGTAAAATCCATTAGGTTGAATACTTTGACAACAGCTGGAGGTCATGTTTTAGTGAGTGGTATTCGTAAGCTAATGAAGTAACTGAGATGCCCCTACATCCCAGGGCGCAGCTAAGTCAAGCTCTTTTATTTTGAGCTGCAAATGAGAACATGTGAATTGCTTCTGAAAAAAAGTCAAAAGTCAAAACTCCCTCATCGTCGCTTTCTATGAGAAACGGAGAGGCTGATTTGAATATACAGTACTGCTTGCAGAGTACCAAAAGCAGCATGAAAATTGCCCAGGAAACACGAACCGTTGCGATAGAATATGGAAGTAATTTCAGGGCAGCGCGATGTTTGGCGTGCAAATCAAATACCAGTCGTTTGGAATAAGGTCCCGATCGAAGGCTAATTATTTCGGACCAATCGTGCACCAAATCCGTTTCATCGCTCCAGACCAGCGTCGAAATGGTCGGTCGAACGCCCAAAATAAAAGCAATCTGCTCACTGGAACATGCTGCCTGGAATAAAAACCTTGTAATCTCGCAAATTACCTGGGGCCTTTCGACAGTAAGCTGTCACTGTATACGCAAAAGGTATGGTAGCTTAAAAAAGGATGGCACAATTTGTCATAAAAAGATCTACGGATAAACTAAGGCACTGCTTTCTCAAACATTGAGGGAAAAATTTTTGCCATTGGCTACCATGCGGCTATGCTTTTGAAATGAGTTTACCGTGCTGAGTCGAGTGGCCAACATGAGAGGCTGCTCGACATCCTTGATAAGTGCCAGCACTTGAAATAACTCACGCCAACCGATACTGCAATTAGTAAATTTGCGGATTTCCTTTGATTTAGAAGAAATGCAAATGCGTTTTAGAGGCTATTTTATTTAAGTGTCGCTAAAATGAAGTACCAAAATGAAATTTCAGCAAGATATTAGGAGAGGGTCTGACATTTTGCCAAAAATTCCAGAGTTCGACTCTACCAATAAGAAAACAATCCCTCAAACGACTCGTTCATTTGTTTTGATGGTAATTTGGTAGTGATGCTTTCAAGAGACAAACTCGCCATCAGCTTACTTCTAAGCAATTCTTAGAAGCAAGAGTCATCGACAGCCTTGCCAGCGTAAAATTGCTGTTGGTGCACTCAGGATACTTTTGAATGTTTCAACTTCGCATAGAGGGTGAGTTAGAAGAGGTTTTATTTTTTTATAAACTAAAATTTACGTAAAAATTTACTTAATCTGTGGAATGGCCAGTTCGGAGAGATTGTTTTTAGTCCATCCGATTGAAATCGTCGCTTCTGGAAAGTATTTTTTAGCACCATCGATGAATTCAGTTGCATCCACCGGTGCCTGAAAATGAAAAAGAAACTAACAGCACTATCAAACTTTGCATTCTCTGCATATTCGTATATTATGTGAAAAATAATCAAGATTTCCAATTATCTGTATAATGATCCTTCGGAAAAAAAGCACCCTCTGAGGTGCCTTTTAACAGCTTGGTGTTATTTGGTCGACATAATTCTCTTCCGATCATTTAGCGTAGAACATTTGCTAACTACGATTTATCTTCTCTAAATTTGGCGTACTTTGTAGAAAATTTGCCAAAATTTTCCCCAAATTTTCATGTTCTAAAGAAAATTTAGCTGTTTATGCTGGTTCATTTTTTCCGGTTGACTAGTATTTACGTCGAAACTCGAGTTTGAGCATGATTTTTCCTTGTCCAGGGTGTGGGAGCATTCCAGTAACATCACTAGCATGGGATTCTGCACGATTGCTTATGTGGTCTTAGTATTTTTGATATCTTCCCATGCGAACAATTTCAGCCTTACCCACCCCGTTTTCAAGGATTTCTTGCTTATCAGATATTTCGTAAGGTTGAATAAATTGATGCAGCCCTACGGAATACCTAATATGCGGGAAATACTTGGAAACAGCGCGGCTTTAAATTTCCGTTTAATAAGTACCATATTAGTGGCATAGAAATACCTCTTTACTCCTGGGTGACCGAAAAACATTTGCATGGAGTACGACCGGCGAAGTAATCTCATCGCTTGCCGCGAATAGGTACTGTAGTACTGGACGAACTGCGGCCGTCGATCGAACATTAATTTTTATAACTAGAATTCGAGCAAATAAAAAAATAAAATTATTTTATCGTTATTAGAAGTATTTAAAAAATTTTGGCAAAATTTTAGATGCAATGATTCGAAATTCGGTTTTCCCTCCCTCCCCCCTTCCCCCTCCTTCCCTCTCTTACCCAATAATGTCCTTTAAATTATATTGCCAGTTAGCACC